TTCCATCTGTATATACAAATTTACACGACTTGTAAAGGTTTGGGCTATTACTGAAAAAGTTGATGATATATTGGAGATTCTTACATTAGCGCATGAATGTTATACTAAAGAGCACAGTGACAAATGTATATACAGACAAATTAGTCAAGACGGTAGTAATTTGCCTATGAGTTTTGGAGACAAGGAGACAACAAAGTCTTCTGAGTGCGGATTGCGTGACCCCCAGCTAGATGATGAGAAACTAATAGAAATTCACAAGATGCTAGTTACAAATAAGTTTACACCTATTTCAAAGGTAGACTATGTATAAATAAAATATCAAACAACAAATACTCTTGATAGATATTATAACAATACTTTTTTTACAGAAGTTTTTTCAGTCACTTGCTAAGGGTGGTTCCGATTTCACATTTCAAGTATCCAAGATCGAATATGAGTTCATAAACCATCCTACTTCGGCAATTGTCATTGGCAGATCTGGTTAGTAGTTTAATTTCAAACTATTGCTGCTTAGAAAAAACAAATTGACATCTTTTTATACATTGAACGCTTAGGGACCGGAAAGACAACAAGCATTGTGTTTAGGTTGGTTGCCTCATATATGGCAAATAAGAAGAGACAAATATTTATTACTGTGAGTGATAATTTGCGTGATATAGTAATAAAATATTTTATTCAACTTAATAAGTCAGTTATGATTGCAGATATGAGCTATAAAACTACGATAAAAAATTATGAACAATATCTAGATATGAATAAAATTCCAAATTCATTCCGTGATTCAGAGGATGAACATTTTCCTCTGTTTATTACCTACAAAAAATTCTCAGAAATGCTTCTTGGAACTTTTGAAATTGATATTCAAAAGCAGATTAAGCAACAAAAATTTGATACTGACAGTGAAGAAGAGCTCTGTTATTCATCCAATTTTTCTAACACATTTAGTGGACTATCGAGTTTTTACAATGAAGTATTGGCCTCATTTAGGTGATCTTTATAAACAAAAGTTGGATTGCAAGCTAGTCTATTCCGAATTTTCTGTTATAAGAGTAAGTGACAATAGGTAAATCTAATAATATAGATAGCTTATTTGAAATTTACTTTGATTCTTCTTAAGGGTACGGATCCCGAAATCGACTATTTATCAAGGGAGGAATATAGGAATATTAGCATTAAGAGATATCCAACGTTTTGTCATAATCGTAAAAAGATTTACGATTTATTTTTGCGATATAATGAAATGAAATCGCGAAATGGTGACTATGACCCAACAGATAGGTAAGCAAATTAATAAATCTGCTTTATTATTGGATAGAATTTTGTAAAGATCTCAACTTTTTTTTGTAGAACAATGTTTATCATATGTCACGCCAAAAAACATGCATTTGGTTGTTTGCAAATTAATGAAGTATACATAGACGAGTGCCAGGACAATCATATTGTAGATATTGCGCTTATCCTGAAACTTTTCAATAATGCGAATGTCATCTTTTTAGCTGGAGATGTAGCACAATGCATTGCATGTGGATCTTCTTTCAGATTTCAAAGTATGTAACTGTAATTTGTTTTTTATCAGCATTAATCTTTATTATTATAATAACTCAAATTTTTTAATTTAGGCGTACGTTCCTTGATGTATATATGGGAACTTGATCGATTTGAGCGATCTCTGACAAATTATAATAGACGTGATGCTATAAATCTGAAACAATTCGAGTTAAATATTAATTATCGCTCTCACAATCAAATTCTTCAGCTCGCTTCATCAGTAATTGACCTCATCTGGTATTTTTTTCCTGATTCAATCGATAAACTTTCATGCGAACATAGTGAAGTTGGAGGTCTGAAACCTGTGGCCTTTAGTGAGGTTCGAGCTAAAGACCTAATTGATATCTTTTATATAGATGAGCAGGGAGAGCATGAAACAAATCATATAGAATTTGGAGCTAGGCAAATTATTATTGTACGTGACGACGAAGCTAGGCAACACGTTGAAAACCTAATTGGAGAAGCTGAAAAAGTGGAAACAGTGTTTGACTGTAAAGGAATGGAGTTTGACGATGTTTTGCTATATAACTTCTTTACAAATTCACCTGCATGTGAAAAGGTAATATCAAGTACTTCAGTTTCTTTTTTAAAAAAAATAAAAATTTATTAAACATTATTTCATTTAAGTGAAGAGTAATTAATTCCACTTTAGATAAATATAAAATAGAAATTCCTATTTTCTCTTATGAGAAGCATTCTATCCTTTGCTCTGAACTCAAACAACTTTATGTCGCAATTACTAGAGGCCGGAGGAGTGTTTGGATATTTGATGAAAATACTAAATATAGCGATCCGATGCGCACATATTGGGAGCAAAAAGAGCTTATAAGAATACGTAAGGACGCAAAAGAAATTACCTTATTTGCTAAAGAAAGCCGCTCTCAAGAGTGGGATGAAGAGAGAAAGGAATTTTTAGACAAAAAGAATTTTAGACAGGTAAAATTCATTTTGAAATATTTGGTAATTAAATTTGTTGTTAAATTAAACAAAACTTTTCTAGGCCTCTTTCTGTTTTAAAAAAAGTGGAAATAAGAAGCTTTGTGATTTATTTGATGCATATTATCTTCAACAAATTGCCAGAGACTCCGTGAACTTTTTTGATAACGCAACAAAAAAAAAGAATTATACTTGTGCAGCTCAAGCCTTCAAAACATGCTCAGAGACGTTTCTAGAAGCTCCATGTTACGAGGTAAATGAATCATAGCTTTCATTTATAGATAATTAAACTAAAAGTAAAATTCATCTAGGAGGGTGAAATATATGAAGAAGCTATTGATATTTACATCAAATTAGAAGAATATGATCATGCTGCACGTTGCTATCACAAGAACAATAATTTGGAGAAAGCGGTGAATGTTTTGAAAAGGCAAATAAGTACACTGAAGCTATTCTTGTCTATAAAAATGGTAAATTTTATAAAAAAGTAATAGACTTAATGGAGAGGTAAAGTAAACCGTTATTATAATATAAGTTATAAATTATTTAATATCAAATATAGCATTAACTGATGCATATTAAAATTATTGTATCAAGGAAAAAACACCAAATTAACAATGAAAAATTTAATCAAGTCATCAGTTTTATATATTTTCATTATCATCGAGAAAAAAACGAAGAGATGTACAAAAGAATCCTTTTGATTCTTGAAACACAGAATAAATGAGTTAACCTCATAATAGAATATGTGCGAGAAGAAGAGATTAAAGAAGCTAAAGAACTTCGATCGCGTGGAAAATTCGAAGAAGCTGCTAATATGTTCATAAATACTATTAAAGGTTATGATACTTTTACCAAATCATTACAGTGTCTTTTATATCTATGTAGAATATATGCACTCAATATGATAAAAGATAGAATAAATTCTAATGCTCTTGAGGAGTTAAATAGACTTTATAAAAAAGCAATTAATATTATTAATAAAGCAAAATCACAGAAAGGCATATCAGAAAAGCCTCAACAATGGGATATCTTGATAGAAGAACTCCAATTATATGAAGCTTATTTAAATAATAACGCTAATCAATTATATGAGTATATTATACATCTTAAAAATCGCGAAGATGTCATCACAGAGTTTCGCGCAATAACTATTTGGCCAAAAATTTCACAAGAAATTTATGAAAAATATCACTATAGGTTAGAATTTCTGCTTAGATTATATAAAATATCAATTCTTTTCATGGTCCTTTATGATAATGTTGGAAAAAACCACAAAGATTTCGAAAGAATTTTTGCTGTGAATGCTGGGAATGCAGATAAAAATATCTTGCTCGTATTCTAAGTAAAATGAATGTAAAGGTGGGGAAAGTAGTTGAAAGAATTTATGAGAATTTTGAAAAAATTTTTGCTATAAGCACTGTGAAGAATAATCCAAATAATCGACAAATCTCTTATGACAATCTTCTTATTCATATAATTGACAAGTTCAATTTAGGGAAGGGAAAAGTAGTTGACAATTATTGGTATGTTTATAAAAAGAATGTTATTTACTGTGCGATATCGAAATCTCTTTCCTTGTATATTCAAGGTCACATTTTAAAGATTCATGAGTATGGTAAAGAGATTCTGGCTATAGCCTTTGAAATATGCAGAGAATGTGCATCCTCGAGTATATGTCAAAATAAGGATAAAAAAAGACATCATGTGAAACCAACACAATTAATTCTATATGATTGTTTGAAAATTGCATTTATTCAATACGCTGCAATATATCAATTGGACGCGATAAGAAAAGAGTTTAAAAAGTATGAAAATTTTAATGTTTTGCACAAATTTTTCAATGAGTTTGAAGGGTTTAATTCTATGCAAATATTTTGGGAGAACAAGCTGATTAGAAATCATTTTCGTTATCAATCTTCACAACTAAGTTGTCCGAAAATAACTAATTTGGTGATCTCTGAAGTTTGTAATAATATACTATGTGACGGATTTGAAAATTTTATACATAGAAAAATATATAACAAATTTAGAGATGATGACTTCAACGATTTTGCAATATTATTAAATTACCTATTCGTTTTAATACAACAGCAAAGTGATAACTTGATTGAGTTTTGCGAAAATGCTTTAGCAATTACATACAATTTTGAAGTAATTGGTGAGAAACTTTTATCATTTATCTTGTCAATATGTTCTAAAGATACTGCACATATCGCCTTTAATGAAATATTAGAGTTCATTGGATATATAGCTGAAAATAATAAATCGGTTAAGTTAGATTCCACTGAAGCATTCAGTGATCTTACTTCACTCATGGAGCTCACAACTACTCTAATTGTTGCAAGTCAACTAAAAAATTCTGATTTTTGCTTTCCTCAAAGTTATTTATTCAACTATCTTAATCCTTTCAAAATTGACTTATTTTCAATTCAATATGAAGAAGATGAAAATGAATTCAGTATAAAAGAATATCTCGAAAAATATTAAAACAAGTTAAAAAATTTTTTGATTTATTGATCTCCGCAAAACTATTTTCCCCGATAATAATTCTTAGATTAATACAACTTCTCATTCTAATCGGCTTGAACGAACCAAGTTTGTTACAAACTTTCTCGGATATTTTCAACAATCTGTCTGATAAACTTCATTCTATTAAGTTTAAGAGATATATTTTGGAGAGCCGTATAGAAAAGTTGGTTAGCATTCTAAATGGCGATCTCGATGAAACAGAATGCGATTCTCTAATTATTGTCTATTACATGCATGGCACGTCAAAGTTTTCTGATTTAAAAGATAGGGTTGAAACAATTGCATACGAAGATGATAAATTCTATTCTCAGCTTCGTCAGAGTTGCAAATTTATTCGATTACCAACAAGCCATTGATAAAATTCAGTGTTGGTTCCATGAGCAAAAGAAATTTCAACAACTTTTGACTTGATATTTAATGAATTAAAGAAACTAACATTTAGTTTTATGGACGTAAAACAATTATGAAATTTAGATAATAGTATAAATTTTACTGGCGAAATGTTAATACCACCGGTATTTGTATATTCATAATTGATATCCTTATATTTTGAACGATTTTCTTTATAATTATTATATGTCAAAGATATTTTTTAAATTTTACTTATAAAATGATCTTTTTTCTTCAGCAAAAATTTTATAAATTTTAGTTTAGTTCTCTTTAACAGCTCTAATTTTGTCAATAAATGATGAGCATTTGTTTTTCAAGATTTATTTCCTTTTTTTATTCTCGCTTGGATTCAATTGGAGTAGTGCCATGCTGTAGCTCTAGGCGCCAATACATTTAACTTATACACTTCCAAGTATAACTTGACTCAACGTGTGTACAAAAAGCATTGTGTAATGGTTCGTGAAGAAAAAAGAGAATGGTTGTGAGAGAGAAATTTAATTCAAAATGTCACTGGGTAGCTCGAGCATTTTGTTCAAATTAATCAAAAACATCTGTTCTAAACTTTGAAGTGATAATAGTAACAGTTCTCTTCATCGACTCCCGTGTCCCTATGAGAAATTACAGCACGGAATAATATTGCAATGCACAGAATGTTGGAGTATGAGACCACAAGAAACCACACGTAAATCTACACGAGGCATTGCATGTGAAAGCACGTTCATGACAAGTAAATAGACGTGGATTCTGTGCACACTGCACATATTGATGTGCACTTTTACGTGTTTTCTTATGCATTGTCACATATCTTTACATATTTCATGTATTCTGTATTGTTTCGTGTATATGTAACATACATATAATGTAGTTCTCATAACTTCAATAATTTATATTAAGTAAAATTTTTTATTATTATATATTTAAAGAATACATAAAGCTTCTTACCAAGATGCTGAAACACAGAATAGTTAAAAAAAAAATACTGTAAGTGCCCTTGGAAATACCAAAAAATCTTTGAAAAATTACACATAAATTATCACAAAGTCCATCTAAAGCATCATCGAAAAAATGCCTATATATAATTAAAAAAAAGAAGATTGTAAATATTTCTTGAAAAAAAAAAATAGCATAAACGCCTAACATATTATTAGATAAATAACTTCAAAAATTTATCTAAAATTCATTAAAAAACGTTCCTAAAATATTGCCAAAAAAGAATAAGAAATTTCGTCAAAAACACTGAAAGTATCAGTGAAAAATGTCATAAGCTTTTCATCAAAAAAAAAACCCGCTAAAGTAATGTAAAATATCTAAAGAATTTGAAAAAAACCGCGTAAGTATTGTTGAAAAATAATCAAAAATATCATCAAAAGATTCATTATTAAGCATAAAAATGTCTAATTATCATTTAAGTGTCAAAAAAATTAAAAGTTCTTCGATATATATTGTTGAAAAGCGCTGAAACTTAAAAATAAATAAATAAAATAAAAATTGAGTATATTGAAATTGTCATGATCTCTCAGATTAATTATTTAAAAAATTTACTTGCTATTCCAGTAACCTGTTAAGTTAGTTCGCATTAAGATTGTTTTGATTTCTATCATGATTTACTGTAAATAATTAATCACAATAATTCTAATTCAAATTACGTAACAAAACTTAACCATATTGTGTGTGTGTGATAAGTTTTGCAAAAAATTTTTTATAGTAATTATGGTAGAATTAACCAAATATTGGATGTCATGACATCAAGTAAGTTTGTCCTAAATTTTTTTACAATAAATCATGACTGCCAATTCCAATATAAACCAACTCGATTACATACAGCAATGGCAAAATTTTTACAGTAAATCATCATTGATTATTTACACTCATCTACCACAATAAACAGTAACAAAAAAAACTACAATGATTTGCTATAGAATAATCTATTGTACATTAAATTTTTCTAATATTTTGATACATAAAATTATTTGTTATGATATCCAATGATATATGGCCTCTCGATATAAAAACTAAAAAGTGAAATTAGACTCAAAAACCGGCCTGTTTGAAATGCTTTCAAATAATTAATTTTAGTAATAAACCTTCAATATACTAAATTTTTTAAAGTTAATATTAATAGATTAAGTTCACTAAAATGAAAATGGCTAATATTATATAATACTCAATATTAGAAATGTAAATTCTTAAATAATTTGCATCAAATGTGGTAAATAAAAAAAAGTTAATAATTAGATAAATTTACTTCAAATAGTTTACATTCTTCTGTTTAAAGCCTTAATTTGTATATTTTGTAAATGCCACCAAGGGAAATATGTCATCGTGGTTTAAAATCATAATTTACCAAACATGATATCTAACAAATCAAATAGATTGAATGCGATAGGCAAGTGACTTAAAACCAGATAACAGATTTTCACTTTATGCTCATGAGTTAACTAACTTCTCCCGCCACTTCTATTGGTTCTTTTAATTATTCAATTTTGGGTCAAAATCCCGAACAACAGATTATCGAAAGAACATAACATCAACTAAATTGGCCAGCATTATAGCTAGTGCCGGCTAATTTTGTCGGGATTATGTTCTTTCGGGAATCCGTTTTTCGGGATTTTGACCCAAATTCAATTATTCACATATTGGAGTATTTGTGCTATTAATTAATTTTATAGTACTCCGGTACTCCGATAGTAATTAGTAAACCCAAAACTTATATACCAATAAGTTAAATTATTTTATTGGGACACTTAAAGATCACTGGACCCAGTGATCGACGATCACATGATAAACATATTATGACATAATTTGTTTACCAGAACTAAACAAACTGGCCTAAACTAACCTCTACCCTAACCCTAAACTAACCCTAATCTAGGCCGAGTGATTATCATGTGATACTGTGATCATCACTGGTCCACGGATCTTGAAACTTCCCATTTTATTTTATTTTCTTGTTACTATAATAAATTTTTTAAAAAAATCTTACATTGTAGCCAATCATATAGTTCTGCACTACAGTATGAATTAGTAAATCATTTGGTATCTAACACCCCAGACCGTAAATCTGAGATACTGTAATTAATGTAATTGTAGTATCAGTCACAACGTATAAAAAAATGATGTAATTGTATCAGTCACGACGCATAAATAAATATATCAGCAAAATCAATGTAGATAATGCAATATGGTTTAGAAACAAATGCTGTATATGTAAAGTATATGAGAAAACAAAGAAAACTTTTACCTTTCGTTCTTTGCGCTAAGACGTCGCATCTGTTATTATTTATATTCATGTTCACTGTATGGTCACCGCATGGTCACTGTGGTCTACAAAATAATTATACAAGGCAAGAAACTTAATTTCACAAAGCACCAGAAAAGTTTCTTTTATTTGTACATGGTTCTCTGATAATTACTAACATTTTCCTTTGGTTTTGAATTTTTTCAACCTTCCACGGCAGTGTTGGGAAATGACTGGTCATTTGATTCTAAATGACCAAATAACCCCAAATGACCCTAGATCATTTGTCATTTGGTCATCTAATATATGAGTGCCGCCAAGGGAAAAGGGATATTGTACTTTGATCTATCGGTTTATCATGTCTGTCTAAACGGGCTTTA